TTTTTTGTTGATATTTGAGGTTGGGTAAAAATGTTTTAAACTTTTTATGGTTGGATCAGCAAAATTAATTTCCTGTATAAATAGTGACCTGTCCCTTTGAAAAAGGAAAATTCAGGATGCTAGGAACATTAAACATTTTATCCAGGTCTGCCTATGGCTCCCTCTATAATGATTATACATTTGGTCAATGGTTGTACCCTGAACCATCATCAAGTCTCAATTCTGAAACCTTGGGGAACTGTAAATATAGATGATGATTAGAATATCTTAACATTTTTTTATGAGAATCTTTCGTTACTATTATATATCTAGACATGGAGCGAAGGAGATGAACAGTTTCACTCTGATTTGATGGTTCCAACATTGTTGATTTATGGTAACCATGACAACTTTGTTACACTGGATGAGGAGACTTACATGCATGAGGTACTCTATATGTAGAGGATATTACACAGCGGTGCAAGGATATGAATTTTATCTTCGAGTGGTAAAAACAATATTTTACGAGTGAGTAAAATATTGTTTTCCATCACGAGAAGATAAAATTCATGTCTTCAAGCCACCATGTACAGTAATGTTCTTTTTATTATATACAGTAGTCACTTCCACTATCTGCTTTTCGCCAATAAACTCTTCAACTTATTACTCGTACTTTGAAATGTAAAATTAAAATCAAAATCATATTTAAAATTAAAATCATACAAGTCGCTTACGAAAATAAGTTGCTCTCCTCTTTATTTTGAGCTTTTATAAAAAAAATTAAAACAACTATACTGAAAAGGAAAGCTGTACATGTTTTAGGCAAAATAATTGAGGAACAAAGTCGTACAAAACAGTCAAAACAAACTTACCCTATACTTCAGGATTTCCCATATACTAAATCAACCCTTGTTGTTTCTTTTAAAATTTTGAAAAAATATTTTACAATTTATTGCGTGAAACGATTTCCCAAGCTTTATTACATGTTTTATTAAATCTTAGCCTCCTTCACTCCTGGCAAACAGCCATATTTTTTAGATCAGCGAGATGACCACCCATACACCAATGAACCGTAGTTGATGAACTTTAGACTTCGTAGATGATGATGACGAACTTTAGACTTCGCTAATGCTTTCCTTTCCCCGGGTGTAAATAGCTGGGCGGAATAAGTACCCACACCCCGGGCTAACGCCCGGAACAACCACGTCGTTGGGCCAAATAAAAATAATAGTTGGTTTCAGGTTTCACAGCCATGTTTTATATGGGTAGGTACTGTAGGTCGGAAAAACATTTTATTTAAAAAAATATTTTATCTCAAGTATGCAATAAATATAAGTTGTTTATGAGTAATGTTCACGCGTGATCAAACGTGCGTGCGGGATCACACGCGAGCTACATGTGTTTCGCGAGAAACAAACGCATCAAGGCGTTTTCGTCTTTTTTCAGCCGTAGCTGCCATGTCAGAATAATGTACGTTTTTAATATTTTATTCAACTGTTCTTTGTGTAAAGCTATGATTAACATGACTTGATAATGATTAAACTATAAGCAAACAAAATCATTTGTAGACAAATGAGTCTGATGACTATTTATATATTCTGTTCTTTACGAAAAGATGGTCTTTACTGGGAAATGTCAATAAAATGTTTATGGTCGGTCATATTTTTGACAGGTCGGTCGGAAACCTGAAACCAACTATTATTTTTATTTGGCCTTGGCTCGGGAACAGTGCTGCAGTAATGCCTTAGTGATGTTCTTAATAAAAATTTCAGACAATCTATGGATCGTCACTGGAAGTCATTGAAGATGCTAGTCATATGGTCATGTTAGAATGTCCTGAAAAACTAAACGAACTGATATTACAATTTCTCCGCCGTGATGTATCTACGCAGTCAGAAGTTTTACTCGCAAACAATAGTCACCCAGGATGTTCCAGTATCTCTGAGGTGAAAAATACGGCAAGTACCATACACGAATCACAAGTTAGTCTTAATACGCCTTCAGTTACATAAAGAGGTCAGTGTAGCCACAATATGTACGAGACGTGAGCTTGTACGTATTGAGGCAACAAAATTGACTGTTTGGAATTCTGGGAAAGAATTTGATAGTTCTGGAAAAGAACTGCAGTACACGCGCCTGCTGTTGAGAAGTCTATATAGTTATACAGTACAAATGCGTGCGAACATTTGCCTATACGTGAGAGCATTTTCGCATAGCTTGGGCACGTATTAGTTTTTCGTGCGGGAGTCGGATTTTTTCGTGTGGATTTCTCGTGTGAGGTTGTTGGAAAAGTATTGTTCTTTGGAACGATCCATCGACATAGATCAATCGATTCGTATGGCCATTAAACTTTTTTCATGTGGATATTTGGTTCTTTTGTGTTGGTTTTCGTGTGTCGCGCGTCTTCATCGTTTCATGCTCCTGGGAAGGTAGTTTTCTGGTTTTCCACGATGGAAGGATCATGTACAACAAACAGAATGCATACGAAAGTTTGGCTTTTGATTTTCATGTGTTGTGGTTGACGCTATAATTACTACATTATGTACAGAATGCTACAACTTGATCAGGAAGAGAGAAGGAGAACTTGGGCACTCAAGGAAAGTATTCTCTGGTGTTCCGAAGCGGAGCCTGAAATAACTTTCAAAACGTTTCCGGAAAAAATGTCCAACCAAAATGAAATTTGATCGGAAATTTCCAAATTTGGTCGGACACACTAATTAGTACAGATCAGTGGTCGGACGTAACTGTTAAATTATTTCAAGATATATTCGTCAAAGTTTTGATTTATTGGTAGAATTTCGAGATTAAGAGAAGGTTAAAGGCCCAAGAAAATTATTGGGTGACTCTATTTAAACTTACAATTTTAGCCTTATTTCGCCAAAAATAAGTCGAAATAAAGCGAAACAAAGAGGGCGGGGAAATTGCCTGACTGTGGACACAATGTATAGTTATACAAAGAATACTCGACGACATGATTACAGCTATTTCAATTAAGGTTGTCATAGTCAATTGTACATTCCAAGCCGGAACAGGAAGATGGGTATACCAAGTTTTAATATTTTGTTTCTGAAGGACCTATAGCTACAGATAATAGTCGAAGTAATATTGAACAGCCAGATGACTGTACTACGACGTTGCTACAGATCAGTGTCAATGTTACAGTTCCGTAAAGGAAGATGAAACCACATCTTCCAGCATACACTGTCAACACATTATCAAATAGTAATATACCTTCTTCTGGTAGATTTCAAGCCAAGCTGGTACGATCAGTTTCCTATGTTAGACATTGCTCATTGTGGTTGAACATATCTGTGAAATCTGGGGAAGATGTAAGCGCGCATACATCATTTGCAGGGAGCTAAACGACTTTTTTTATGAGATATTGAAGGCTTTTAATCCGTATTGGTGCTCTGTATTTAAGCAAGGAACAGTCGCATGTAAGCATCAAGACGTTGTTGCTCATCTGACTATCCAAGACCGTGATGAAAATATCCTCAGAATTGAATTCATTGGCGACGTAAGCCAAAAGCCGCAAAAATGGTTGAAGAGCGACATACAACAGCAGTACAACAATACAAACAAAAAAAGTATGCTATGCCATCAAAATACCACATGAGGGATAAACTCGTGGAACTTTCACTGGAATCATTTCAAGCTGGCAACCGCACTGGCATATTGGTCCTATATCGCATTCCGCAATGAAAACATCTGTGCTGCAGCAAAAAAGAAAACACAAATCGACAAAATATTGTTTACCGCTATTTCTTATCTTCAACAGTTCATAGAACGAGAAGTTGGAAAAAATGCCATGGAAGTGGGACATATATGTGGAGAAAGTTGTTTGGTCATATTCAACAGTTCAATTTAACTAACAATATCAATTTAGTGCTCTTTAACGAGGCTTCCGATAGACTCTTATATAAGGAATATAAGCATCGCAAGGTCAAAAATAGATAATTATTTTGACTAGTTTTGTTGCTTCTGAATTTTCTTTTTGACATAATACATCCATGTTCGGATAGCAAATCTGAGCCTATGGTCATAGCTCCTATTTGTTTTCGCAACTATTCCCCGTGGTATGCGTGATTTATAATATTCCCATTATACTTTTGGCGCATAGATTGTACATTTGACTATTGCTTGTGACAACCTTAATTGAAAATTTGAAATAGCTGTATATATCATTTACAGTAGTACAATCTAATTAACACCGACTAATCAAATGACAGTTTTTTTTGTCCGATATACCAATCAGGTGAAAAGCAGGATTTTGACCTGTTTACATGCGGCCATGCAGTCAGATTTATACCAGGCTCTCTTTACCCTTCCATCTACCCGCATTTAAGAAAGGGACAACAGGGCCTCATACTCAGGCCAGGGCGAGCCTTTTAGATGGCCATGAGGTGTAAATACTGTAAATAACAAGTTTTGTAAATACGAGACATTGATGTAGGATGTAAAAATTCTTTAATTATTAATATATACAAATAAGCAATACACTATCGCATATGTTCGACATAGGAAAGTGTCACAATTATAAGATTATACACATTTTATCTATAACTACATTATTTTGAATTTGCAAACCTTTTGCAGTTTCTACTGTACAAACTATAATATTTACTTATAGGTTCAAATATTTACTCGACTAGCAAGATTTTTCTTCAAATACGATCGATATTAAAATTGAAGTAATTAAATGTCTATATATTATAGCCGTTTAGATTTTTACCAAAATGTCAATAATAGCCTAATAATCCATAAAGATTCTCGGTATGTACAGTTTGTCTCATATAGACCAAGGCATTCATGCTCTTTGAAAATATACACTCATATAAAATATAGTGGGGTTAATTCACTGATCTCAATGCTAGGACTGGAGAGAGCAATCTTTTGAATTCCGGGAATCATTTTGAAGCTGGAATATTTATAATGAGGAGAGATTTTTTAATCTGTCACATTCCTGTGTTAAATTAGTTATGCTGTCAGGCAAATATCTTCTTCTACGTAACTTTAAGAACCGCTTCTAACATGTCAGCAATATCACAGTAGATCTGCGGTTGTCACATTGGCTTCATTTGTGCATAAAAGATGCTCCATCCAGTCCATGCTCCATGAGATCAGTTGTTCCATTGCATACTAAGTAATTTCAGCCGAGATGAGTTCAATGCTTGGGTCGGCACGAAGCTCTAGGAAGATGTTCTGTGATTGGTTGATTATGACAATGACAAAAGAATAAGCTATAGAATGGATTTTCTAAAGAACGAAGCAAGAACAATATTCCTTTTGTTTATGTAAGCCAATTACGTCTTTTGTCATTGTCATAGTCAACCAGTCACAGAACATCTTCCTAGAGCTTCGTGTTTACTGCAATTCTTAGCTGTGTATGAAATATGCCTGGAATTATAAATATTTTGCTATATAGAAAGTAAATCCAGCATCTGAATAAATATACTTCGATGATGCGCTGGGCTTAGCCAAAGATTGCAACAGCTTAAAACTATGTTGAATATATAGAATAAATTAAAATTGCTTCCCACGAGTTTATAGTATACAAATGGAGCCTGCTCCAATGTATTAATAATATACATGATTATATATTACAAATATTATTTAAACAGCAACCTTAGCAAATAGCTTGTCATATAGTGTCCTTGTTGGTGTTTGTAATTTCATATTAGGACGGTTTTCTTGAACGTTCCTTGTTAACCGATGAGTCGGTCTGCGGTGAATGCTTCACGGGTTAACCGCTTGTGGACGTGACCGTCGTAGCACGTATGACGTAAAAACGGGCAGCAGAGCTTTACTTGGCGGCCTGCGCATGGGCAGAACTCCCGCTGCATGGATAACCACAGCTGCACATGGTTGTGCGTGGATACGAAGGGATAGGATATGGGGATAGAGATGGATAGGAATAATAGTAAAATGTGGGGAAAGGGATAGGTGCGGATGGGATAATTCTTGGCGTTGAAATTTGTTGAGTTTTTGGAAGTTCTTGTTTCCGTAATCTCGCACGTCTGTTAGAAAACCAGACCTGTGGAAAACAATAAAAGATGATTTAATACAACAATACTTTCAATTAGCACTAATTAGTGACCTTAATTAAGCACACGTACATACCAGGAATAAATGAAAAGTAATTAGTGACCTTAATTAAGTACACGTACATACCAGGAATAAATGAAAAGTAATTAGTGACCTTAATTAAGCACACGTACATAGCAGGAATAAATGAAAAGTAATTAGTGACCTTAATTAAGTACACGTACATACCAGAAATAAATGAAAAGAGTTTACTTCGATACATTTCCAAAATTGTTTTGCAAAAATGAATAACTGGTTTATATTTTACTTATTTTCAAAGCTCAGCCTCATGGCCTCCAAATAAAACTGGATTGTTTATTTTTGTGTGAAGAAATGAAGTTGGACGTCCAGATATCTTTTCAGATCAGTGGATTTAATTCCTTGCATAATTACTATAACTAGAGTTCGTTTCAGCCAATCACAGCACGACTTGCAAGCGAAATCATATCTGATTGGTCAGTTCTATTTTCCCTTTGTGAGCAAAAATGCTGTAACCCAACCTTATAGCCTGGGAATTCGTACAAAGGTACTAGAAATCCTACCTGTATTCTCGCTTCAGAAAGGTTAATTCTTTGAGCTAGTTCTTCTCTGGTATAGACATCTGGATAATGTGTTTTCTGGAAGGCTTTCTCCAACTCCTCGAGCTGACTGGATGTAAATTTTGTCCTTGACCGACGCTGCTTTTGCTTCAGTATCAGGTGGTCGGCATGGAATGGCATTCCCAAGGTGGTCTCACCATAGTAACTGGAGTCTGAAGTGAAGAAATGAATTTTTGTTAGATGAAATGTATAACTTTCATAGTTTCCATAATTCATTACGGAACATGGTCTAGTATTTTCTTTGACTAGAAATTGTATAAGTTCGGAAGGAACCACTAAAACACCCCCTTCCCGTAACATCTCTAGCACCATCTAGAAAAAATCTACAACAGCCAGTGCTTATGTGAATTTCAAACTGAATTTCCAGCTCTTGTTGTGCCGTGATATATTTATATTATATTCATTGTATATATTCATTTATTAATTATTCACTATAATACAATGAAACTGTACACTTAATCCGCAAATAGCAAACGCTAATCGAGGCGGATAGCGTAGAAGCATAGTCAAAAGATGAATATAGATCTAGATGAATATAGAGTTGGTAGAGCATAGTCAAAAGATGAATATAGATCTTATTCCAGTGTACAACATGCATGTTTGCGAAGCATGCCATACACTAGAATATTGCATACCATTATTTCGAAATATTGCAAAACCTATTTCATAGATTATATGAAACGAGTCTTGCTCTTGCTTGTGATCACCACGCTTGCCTTTGAAGCTGGGATACCTAGGTTCAATCCCGGGTCGGATCTCTAATCTACTCAAGATCTTAAAATAATTGAGGAGAAAGTGCTACCTTTACATTGACATGAGTAAATGGTTAGTCTTCTCGGATAAAGACGTTAAAATCGAACTGAGGTACCTCGGATCCCCTATATCAATTGAGCAATAAATAGCCTGTTGAGAAATCCGCTCACCAATGAGTGAGAAACTCAATAAACTATTTTTTATTATTTTTGAAATTAGTTGGATCAAAATGTTGGATATGTTGGATAAAGGCTTACTTATTAGGCAAAATGTTGTTGCAAAACGTAATCGCGTTCATCATTCGTGCACCGTGCACATTTCCGTAAATCACTTGTAAAGCAATATTCTCAGTTCTGTGTATAATGGATAAGAAATGGCCATGGAAAATAAAGTACTTGAAAGTGTTAAAGGCTTGTGACGGTGTGAAGTTCTTTCAAATACTCGACTTCAAATGCAAGAACATTCTTTTCAAAGACATAGTTTCATTAAGTGATTGTGGACACGAAAAACTGTTTAGAAAATACAGTTGCTATCGTATACTAAGTTAATTACCCTAATTCTAAGTGCTAAACATCTAATTAAGCCGTCTATTGACTTGCAATGTCAAATCTTTTGTGCTGGGATATCTTAGCATTAACAAATGACCTTGCCCTTTTCAAAAATATACAATGCAAATGTACTGGGTTATTTACATGCGGAAGGAAAATATAAATCAAAATGACAGGTATTGTTGATTTAACATGTTTTGAAGTGGGGACCACTTTATGACCATGCCCTTAACATGTGCGTGCATATATTCTCACACGGTAATTTGGCAGGTAAACGTGATTAATTATGCAGAATATTCTTTGCAATATTCTAAGCTATACAGTATCTACACAATGTAAAACGCGCGTACAGTATCTGCCAACAAGTTGTAATATACAAGGTTATTGTCAAGCCGATAACAGGATGCGTTCGCATGCACTGCTCGTTTTCAGTTCTTGTGGCAAGTGTGGAACAAGTTGTTATCATCTTGTTACAAGGTTGATAACGGTAACAGACTTGCTACAAGTTGTTCCAGCAAGACCACTGTATATGCAGACTGTTCGTAACAAGTTGCTACGAGCTTGTTGTCGTCAACAACTTGTGTTACGTGCTGACAGTATCAGACTTGTTGGAACAACTTGTTGACAACCTCGTTACAAGATGATTGTTCCAGACTTGTTAGCAACTGGGAACAAGCATTGTCATTGCGAGTCCTGTTGTCTGTGCCTTCAATTTCTTATTGTAAAACTGATAAAAAATATTTTAAAAAATCTTGTTGACAAAAAAAATCATCTTGACAGCAGGTTTTCAATTGTTCTGTATTTATGAAAAAAACAGACAGTACATTACGTTTTAACTTTCCTCAGCAACCGTTCCAAGTTTTTCTATGATAAGTACATGTGCTTTTGAACAAATGACGTTGTCAATTGTTATAGAAATTAAATTTTACCAAACAGTACATGTTTTTTTCAACAACATGAAGGTTTGACCTTACTGAACCTCTAGAGAGGATAGAACTGATATAGCTATCCTGTATAAGTAAGCTTAATTTATAGTCTTCATACCTTGATTGTTCATTTGGTTATATGCATCTTAATGACTTAATCATATGTTGAAAAAGCTTTCTTACTCCTCAATAAGGGAATCCTCATTAGAATTTCGGCAGGAAAAAAGACCTAGCATGCATTTTTTGAATCGTTGTCAGAAACTGCAGGAAATATGTTGATTAATTACACCGGTTATATATACAAATAATCTTTCTATTTCAAACCAACGGATTAGAGTTTACCCTTGACAACACTTCATACCAATGACATAGCTTACTTGTGCGGCAAAACTTCAAATAAAATTTATAAGAAAAATTTGTCCCCATAGTATTTCCTATCTACAAGAGGCGGCATTCCTTATCGTGGCGTGGGGCTTGTCTGGGTGATTACATGCATTTAATGTACGGTTAACCTCCTGTTTATCGGGTTGCCATGAAAACGTGGCGTATTCCAATGTTATGATCAAAGCTAGTGCGACCCTTGTGATATCTTTATAAGGACTTACGCTGCTTGAACGTTCAAGTTGTACACGCGATAAGGGAATGACACTTGAGTATTATCAACGGAAATTATCGCTAGGGAGGGGTCTTGCGAGCAGTTAAAGTAACGGGTTATTTAAAGGAACTCTTAAAGATAGCAAGTGCAGATTTCACGCAACAAAATTGATATAATTTTTTTTACTATGCACCTCATTTTACTTTCACTTGTGTCAAAACTAATGGAAGAATGAAGAATTGAAGGATACTAAACTAACTTTGTTTAATATGGGTGGTAGCTCTATCAGTTCTAAACTGTTCTTTCTAAAAGTCCAATAATTATAAGCCCATGTCTACGGTAGGAAACCTAAACGTAACTAACTTTATTTAATACTGGATAGCTCTATCAGTTCTAAACTGTTCTGTCTAAAAATCTGGTTAGGCCATCTCTACGAGAGGAAACCTAAACTATATTAACCTCATTTATTCTGAATATAGCTCATTCGTTTCTAGTGATCAATAAGTCCAGACGGAAATCTAAACTAAACTAACTTCGTTCATAATTGATATCTTTATCCGTTCTAAGCTGTTCCAACTTAGAGGTGCAGTTATAGGGTCATCTCATATTGCCGGCACATTGGGGGATGTCGGAGTTCCCGTAGGAAACCGGTTGTACTTGTTAAACTAGGCTAATCCCACATCTCTATGCCATGACTTTACTTCCCTGTTCATAAGCACTGACGTGTCCGTGATTTTTAAAAATTGTATTTTTAGGTGACCTTCAAAAACATTCAAACAACTAATTAAGGACAGTTATTGTGTACTTAAGAATACTTTGATATCGGACCCTTGACGGCAAGAGGTTACACCCATCTATAATGCGCTGTATTTGTCACGCGACGTGTAATAACGTATTATTTCATGGTTCTCAGTGATCTTGGACTTGGGACCTTATGGTCCTTATGACAAAGCGAGAGGGTATGAAATTGAACTACTAAGCCTATAATGTGCCACCTTTGAGCAACCACAGAATTTGAAAACAGCTTACTGGCTAGATTATTGCCTTACTAGTCGCTGGAACGTGACCAACGACTATATAGTGCTCGCCTGAGATTTGTAGTGAATTTCCGGAAAGGAGGTCATCCGCACCTCGCCGAAAAAAGTTTCATACAACATGGAAACGATTTGCATAAGCACTGGTCAATGCTGACTGTTTCTGGATGATCTAGGGCCATCTGAGTGGGAGCCACCCTTCGAAACCCACCAATTCGTACCTGAATCATTCCCTTCGTCCATTTCTTCAGTATATTCAACTTTCTCTTGTTTAATTCTTGGTACAATAGTTTGTTCTTGATCAGAGGATACACTCTCACGATCCCTATCTTCATCATGATGTACATCATCTTCCCTATCTACCGCCTGATGTTCCCTATCGTCTTCCTCGTTCTCGCTGTTCGATTGTGTCCCGCTATCCAGACTTTCAGATCTCAATTTACTTTTCATCATGCGACTTATAGAGCTGAGCGAGGGGAGAGTTTCCCGGCTGCAGAATTTATCCAACAGCAATCGTTCGCGGATTTCCCAAGAGAACATCCCAGGGTACATTGTACGGTATTCGTCGATCTTGAGTTCTATGTCTTTTGTAATGACCCGCGGTTTCGGGCTGCCACTTGTACCGGGTTGGATCGAGCCCGTTTCTTGGTAGCGTGACAGGATTTTGCTTACGCAGCCGTGAGATACACGGAGTTGACGGCTGATGTCGCAAGGGCGCACACCCATGTGGGCTAATTCAATAATACGCAGTCTTGTTGTGTTGGGCAAAGGGCGACCGTTGATAAACACGCCACCAAGTTGGTTTACTTTTCCTTGACCTGTACAAAAGAAATGAAATATTTGAAATAAACAAGGATTGATTGTTTGTTTATATGCTATCAAAAGTTCTTTGAACGAAAGATAGTTTGGGCAAAAAAATTATATAGATTTAACTTCAAATGTATTCTAGTCAAAATTTGATTATTTTTGATGACCGAAGCCCTGACCACATGCACGGGATTACACTATTGTCTGTTGAAGTTTCTTCATTTAATCAAAGTTTGTGTTTATCAAAGTGGATCACACCTATGATGAATCTCTTTAATTCACGATTGTATATTAATATTTTAATTAAAGTCAGTTTCAAAGACATACTAGTTTTATAGCATAGATATAATATAGAACAATAATAGATTTATTTATATATAGCGCAATTCACTTGTGGATATGAATATATGTACATAATCATGAATAAACAAGTTTACGTATTATTGCCTTTATAATGATATATTCACAGAAAAGTTTACAATCCTTTTGAAGCAGACAATTTCGCAAAATATAAGATGAAACTTCATCAAATAATAACATCTTGTAAACTCATGATTCGATTAGCTATTTCAAACAAGATAACAAAATTCAAGGTAGCTAATAGGCTACGTCGACTTTATTTCAAAGTCATTGTCAAACCTAACAATTACTTTGAAATAAAGTCGAAGTGTTGCCTTGAATTTTGTTATATATTGTTTGAAATAGCTCGAATCTTGAGTTCACAAGATGTTATTATTCGAAGTGTGGTTCATCTTAAGCCAAATATATGATGTTAGATGTTCGTTGTCTCTGACTAGAGAAGAAACCCTTTGGGATGGCTGAGCTTTCCATTGTGTCTTGGGCAAACAGGTTGTTTGAGAAGCATTTCGCGGAAACAGCATGTCGCCTTCAAATATTCCAAGAAAATATCTTGCACACATTTACTACCATTGAAGAATATTAGTCCTATATATAGCTACACTATATACAGTATAATGTATATTTGTACAAAACCCTAAATTACACCTATGAGACTGCCTATCAATTTGAAAGCAAAGAAAGATTAATTTATGGAAAGACTATGTATCAAAGTCCTTACGGCTTATATGCGGTTTTCTACCGGGTGGCGCAAAAAAAAGTACAACTGTTTGATTACTTGTAACTCAGAAACAATAAGCAGTAGAACCATAAATCGAGTTTAATTGCATCCAGCGATATCTAACTTAAATTTTGGTATATTTGACAGGCATATTCGTCCAAGATTAACTGAGATATAAGAGTTTAAACTTTTGTTAACAATTTTGAAACGGTCACAAATTAGCTAAAAATCAGTTTAATAGGCCGTTTTTAGCTAATTTGTGACCGTTTCAAATTTGCTAACAAAAGTTTAAACACTCATATCTCAGTCAATCTTGGACGAAAATGCCTGTCGAATATACCAAAATTTAAGTTAGACATCGCTGGATGCAATGAAACTCGATTTTGGGTTCTACTGCTTATGGTCTTTGAGCTATATGTAATCAAACAGTTATACTTTTTTTTGCGCCACCCGGTACACCAAACGGATGATGCAGCCACTTGCTACTAAAGAGTTTTATAATTTGAAATTCCTGCCATAGAGCATAAAAGATCCTTGTTACATAAATGTCCAAATTTACATTTTTTCAATAAGGATTCCCTAACCAGTTTCTAACCGTATCTTAATACTCTAGACATCTTCGAAATCAATAACACTATGCAGTTTTTCATTACGCATTGTATGTTAACGTGAGTAAGATAAATACTATCCCGCCTCCTCGGACGAAGCTGCCAAAATCACACAATTATATACAAATTGCGAATTCCAATTTTTCCGTTACGTTTAAAACCCCGAGCAAATTTGAAAATATTTACGTAATAATATACATTTTGCGCTTATTACCACTCATTTAACGCTGATGTTTCTATAATAATTACATTCTCCTTGCAGATTCTCGTGGTATATAAATTTTATAAATTTATAAAGCTAGTAATTCTTATGGAAAGTAGGGTCGTAAAAGAGTCGTAAAAGCTGAGAAACGTGCTGGCCATTTAAGATAAAAACTTGCTTTGTTTATATAGCATATGTATATATAACACACAGGAATTCTACTTTGTTCAAAGATCACATTTTAGTATAAAGTACTCAGGACTTCCTTTTCGAAGTTATATAAGTTAAGTATAAACTCGATGTTACCTGTTTAAGTTAAATATTAACAAAACTGTAACATTACCCTAAATGGTTAATATTGCAAGTTAATATTTAACTATATTGTGTTAATATTTAACTCGAGTTGTTATTTTACTTATCGTGATCAGTAACTGTGAAAAATATCACACGTCGGAAATGGTCAATAAAACAATATTCTCTTTCAGATCAAGTCACTATATACACACAATAAAGTGTAAATATACATCAATGCACTACTAGATGTGTTAGTTTGTAGATATAACACCGCAACTCCACGTTAATAACATATAATATTACAGTACTTACCACTAGCCTTGCGTTTCATTGTGTATAGATGACAGTTTATAATTTCAGTTAACTGTTTGAAGGACCTGTTTGCCTTCCCAAATCAATGAGATTTGTTTCAAAAGCCTGTCATTGCCTCATTATATGTGTTCTGCCCTAAGTGGGCTCTTAGCCAATCACAGCGCGAGTTTATTGTTTATTGTAAGAAGGTGTTAGCAGTGATGTGCTAAATAAAGACTGAGGAGCCGGCTGCTTTGTAACGTATAATTTACAGGGTGGTTACCACTTGTTTTGTCACGACATCCATCAGGCTATCATAGAAACGGATGTGTGTGAATGAAATTACACACTATACCCAGGGGCCGATTCTCGAAAGATCGATTACCGCTAATACAGGGTTAACATGGTTAAAATTGTTAAAATTTAACCCTGTGGCAACGTTTCAGTTTTATAGTATAACATTTTATAGAAATTGAGATTTTAATGAAATCAGCTTAGACCTGCTGAATCGAATCTCATCGACAAAGTTTACATCTATATAAATAAGTTTTGGGAATTGGTCTGATGTTGTCGAAAATGTTATAGAAAACGAGATTTTAATGAAACCAGCGTAGATTTGCTAAATCGAATCCTCATCGACATTGTTTACATGTATATACTTTGGTGAAATTGGTCTAGCTATATGTTTGTATAAAGTGTTTTACCACCATGAAATAAGGTGTTTTATTGCATCGAAACCATTTACATCTGTAAATATTATATATAATCAACCACGTTACATTAGGTTTTTGAGATCTTCATATTTCTCTGTTTTTTTGTTTAATATTTTAACGGATGCATAAATCAATAGGTTAAATTTAGGCCCTCGTCTAAGTCTGAGACTGCATAAAATAACACGATCAATTCTTGCGTATTTCGGAGCGATCGCCATGCATGGAAATATGGGAACAGATGTATATTTGTGGGTTTATAGTTAACATCAAATGGGGAAGCATGGCGGTGGTCCGCTTCAAAGTGATCGGACATGCACATATATAGAAGCAAGCAAATACGCCTCTCAATTCTATCTCAGTATTTGCATCCAAATACACAAAACTACTTCGCATGAGGGAAATAAAGTTAACTTAATTAACGTTATCTTCCCACTCTTAAAACTATCAGCTGACCGAATCAATACCTTGTTACTTTTCTTAACAATGAATATAATACAATCTATAATATACAACAATATATAATACCGGCAATAATATATACGAATTACAATGCTTGCTTAACTTTTTATTATACCTTCCTTTACCAATAGGTTGTCTTTGTAAACGTTGTTGGCATTCACTTAGCCAATTATCTCTTATTTTCTCTTGTTCCTGCGGTTGTAAAAAATTGAGTGCGTGTCTAAAGTTACCCTTTCCTGTCACGCAACGATAGCCTTAAATGCAATGTTAAATATATTGGTATACATATAATACAATGTATCTATCAAATCTAAACAGTACAAATACAATAGGTACCAATTTAATGGATTGATTCAGTAGAAAATGTCATGGTTAATTGGTCTTCCTTTTTTAACGACAAAAAATCAAGAGCAATATATAGCTACTTAATGTCTTTAGATTGTGGTAATGTAAAAGGATTACAGTTAAAACGCAACGGGTTAAAGTGAATTGCTTTACTCCTTCAGTGAAAATTATTGTAAAGCTTTGACTTTTTGAAGTATGCTTGATTAGTTTAATTTAAGGTTTGGTTTACACTGTCAAAGTCTTTTGTATCGAAGTCTTTTGTATCAACGTTTACTTTGCTTTGAAATATGTGATTGTATTTGTAACCTCTTTCAAATTAGACACAATTTTGTAATTATGCTTACGGTTCGAAAGCTTTTAGCGTGGTGTTTATCACCAAACAACAATGGTTATTATCTCCATTCCAACCCCCAAAGAAACTTAGCACAATTTTACTTGTCTTCATGTCAATGTTTGATGACGTCATTCTGATCACCAAAAATATTCGCACACCAAAAAGCAGTTTAAGTGTATTACTGCATCGATGACTTTATAGATTTATGCTAGCCTTACCCTCATATAAAAGCATTGACTTTATACGGTTGCAGCGAAGCCAAATGCCTCTCACTGGAGAGTTTCTGTCGGAAAAGTTAATTAATAACGTTGTTGCCTGTTGCATTAGACGGTGAAATACGCGTCACATTTCAATTATAGCAACAGTTGTTTTTGTGACGCCAAGTTCTGGATTACGAAAGTAAAAAACCTAAAACGAAGGCGAACAACTGTTGCTGCGGCACAAGTTGCTGCGGTACAGGCAGGTTTAAAAAACAATGAAACCATTTTGAAGGAAAATGAAAGAAAAATGCAGCAACTATTCACTGGTATAACTAAATCATTATGCTAGTTAATTAAAAGTTACGTATATTACTTGAAATTTTTTTTGTATTTTACTTATAGCTTGCTGGAAGTTAAAGAGTATCTAGGTGTAATTGTTTTAAGTTTGCTGAAGGGCGTTAAAAAAGCTTTATTAATGTACTCTGCAAATATAGTACAAATATAGTTTTCCGGTGTCTATCTCTATTAAAAGCTCAGAGGAGACCGTCTGGTTAGAAATATATACTTATTTATATAAGTTTGTTCATATATTTGTTACCATTCGTGTTGTTACTTTCGGTAACCATAGATACAAGGTAAACTATAGCGTACTGTCGAAGACCGCTAGATATTAGCATAGCCAAATTTCCCTTTTTCGGCACCGCATTTAAATATACCCTGATAATAATACGGAAATAACAACCGGTTGTTTGGGTACTGTATTGGAGTTATGATTGGGGGGGTCGCTGAATGTCATGCTATATCAAAAATATACTACAGGGGCTGCCTACTGTGTATTGTCGGGCCGAGAAGAGGAAGGCGGGCAGGCAGAATGGATATAGGTCAACTCAACTTGAAGCGCGTTCCAGCTATGGCTGTATTTGGACTGTGTTGTACTTTCGTGCTGTTCAAATTCCGAGACGAGAGGGCGTTCGTGGGTGTTCGAAGTGTTTCAGATCTCATTAGATTGTTTGAAAGAGGATCTTTTTCCGATATGAGCAATATTTATATGAGCGGCATTTTAGAAACCAGAATTCATTAGCTCAAAAAGTCAAGTACCTACGAAAAAATGCATGAAATTTCAGAAACAGCGTTACACCAAGCCCATCTGTTACCGTTCAAAACCCTCGTTGGACCTAGTTTAACGAGTTTTTAAAAGTGTCGATGGCACAGTGTTTATCAAGGGAGGAAGGTGGAACAATATCAGTTGAGAGAAGTGGCGCAATGTTTGTCGAAGACGTTTCAAATTGTCTCGCGCGGAGTACGAGTACATGTGATGATAACTTCACTTGTGACAAAAGTTTTCTTGGGACAACCGCCTCACCCCACCCCCGGTCAATAATTTCTGAAAGCTTTGATAGCTGAATAACTGTGTTACAATTAAAGATGTATCAATCATTTTTGAACCATGAAAGAACACATAGATATACATGCAGATTTTAAGAACTATAGAAATGGAAATGGAAAAGTAAAGTTTGTACGCGAACTTAATAGTAGATGAATATCTCGATTTAATATACGACGATTTCCGAAAGCGTAAATCGCCATTTTATATATAAGTACGACAAAAGTGATGCATTGGGAGATTTTCACTAAACACTAAATGATGGTTTTTTGAAAATTAAAAATGATGTCTGGAGCTTTTGTAGTTTAGTTTATTGTCTGAAATATAGTGTCCCATCCTTGATTTTTAAGTGCAAGTCTAATGGTTCCAGCCTATGAATCCATGCTTTTTACCGTGGCATAATGGATCATCCGCTAAATATCGAAATGCCACCTGTGGAATACCTCAGGGTTCGCAATGTGTCCCATCCTAAGATGAATGATTTTAACAACTATGACTTTGTATTAGTTTATAACAACCCTGACCCATATAGAATGAGTAATCTTCCATTTATATTTGAAACCGCGGGCAGTTGGCTCTTAGAATTTGCGGGGGTTGATTGATAGCATTCACATACCATGGAATTTCCATTAAGAATAGTTTCTGACCACGAAAGGTTCGATGCCAAGAAAGCGCAGAAATTTCCGCGTGTTTTTGGCACATAACTCGAAATACTTGTTGATACGCATTAAGTTCGGTATGTGAATTTTTTTCTCAGCAAAAAGCTTGGATTGAAATGGTTTTCGTGCGCGTCGCAATAAAAGCTTTGTTTGTTAATTGCTGCCGCAAAGGAGCGTGACGAAGTTGTGCTAAAGTTAAAAGCGAAAGGATTGCTAGGAACTTAAATACAAAGCGCCCGCTACTTAAATTTCTAAGCGCGCTTTCCTGTGGACTATCCTGACCCTCAGTGGCCGATTACATTTTTACACGGAATCCGCTTTTGTACATTTGCATGTAGCTATCAAAACTTCCGATCAGTTGCAAACTGATCTTTCAAATCCAAGAGGTTTAGTAACAGCGTTCTCTTTCAATATTACTACACCAGCTAGGGTACCAGAATTAAGAAATCCTGTGATATTTGATAGAGTCAATCAGAAATACTTTTCTCGTGTATGACAATGAGGAGATCAGAAAAGTGTAAATTGCTGAAGTCGAAGCCTGGCACAGTGCTAAAAGGCACGTTCTCCGATCCGGGTTGACAATTTTTCGTCTCACGACAGATTGCAGTCAAGTAGGAAAACACAATTTTCAGAACACTGTAAATCGCACCCTGTTTGTCCAAACAACGTGAAATGTTCGGTATAGACTAATTTGAACATGAAGATTTCAATTCTGGGCTCCATTTCTACCAAATATGAAAATGAGAAAGTGATAACGCGAACTCGGATCAGAAAATACTGTGCCACCGAGATTTGATGTCTAAATATACTGGAAATCAGTCTGCCAGAGTTTGGTGTTAGAAATTCGATGTTTGATTCAGTATACATGACCGTTTAAATAGAGGTAAATCACAGTGAGTAGAAGAAAAACATTTGGGGCTAGTAGAATATGGCCGCGGCCGCTTAATAAGGATTGTTTGGGGATGCTTTGCTGCCGTTTAATAGAGGCTCCTTGTATATTTTCCCACAATTTCGTTTGTCCATTATTCTGTTATTTTTCTACAACATTGCCAAACCTCAAAGCCGAAGGATTATTGTCGCCAATTCGATCCCATTTCGAAAAAAAACACAATTGAATTCCATAGATGTTACACTTCATGCGACATTCTTTGAACTTAGAATATTAAGGGTGAGTCTTGGGAATTTGGCGAGCGCGTCATAAAAACAACATACTTGTAATGTACAAAGAATGTAAGAGAATAATCTATGCTCTTGTAATCGAGACGCTCTTACCCGTTGGCTTTATGCATGTGATTTGTTTGTCGGTTCTATGTTACCGTAAAAATCTACAACAGAAACCTAAATCATAATGACCAATTTAAAGCAATCTTATATGCGTCGCCTGTGAAGAACTGGCTGTGTATATATAATTTATGTATATATTTGCGCATGCGTCGCAGTTGAACCATGCTTATGACGCCATTATGACTTTGCTCTATGTTATTTCTTGTGTCGTTAACCGAAAATTTCTTCTTTGTATTTTTTAAATTTATGTACATTTAATGTCAATTCGAGGCGATTCCCAGTAACATGCCCACTTAATAGTTTCGAATGTGGTTAAACGCATTTTGGGTTTCGACTTCTAGGTGGGCTTATGACATTTGTAATTCTTTATATATAATATTAAAAAATGTTCAGATGTGTTTAAACTGTTACATTGTATCTTTGAAAGACGTTTACTTTAAACTGTTACAAAGCATTGATTCTGGGATTAGTATATAAGTAAATAGTATATTAGATGATTATCTCCACACAGCGGAAAGCTTTAAAACGAATCGCTTGATCGCAGTGGGAATCGAACATTTGTTTTGCTACATTCTCTGCCGAAAACTACGCATGGGACATATACAACTATACTTTCACATAATTTGAAAGGCCTAACACCCCCCCCCCCCCATGCATATGCATGCCCCCGTTCAATGTTGGCCCACAGAAAACCAACATCTTGTTCGCCAGACGGCCAATATTGAAATGTGTGGGGGGAGTGATGGTGGAATAAATGTATCCAAAATAGTATAACACGTCTTATTACAGGTAAAAACTAGATTGTCCCAATGCATATTGCAAAGATTGTAGTTTGGTGTGGTTTGAACGGTGAAATCAAAGGTAGCAGTTCGATTCCTACCCGCTCGTGGTCAAGTAATTTTGAAACATTTCTCAGCTTGCCCAATGTGGAGCTGCTTGGAGTGGCACCATTTAATATTGGAACGATGTGTTAAATTAAGTTGAAACAACTTACGAACGTATTAGGTGTTTGCAAAAGATTTACATGCATAATCACACATTTCATCAAAGAAACTTTGATATTGTAAAACAGCTTAAAATGAAGGATATTTTTAAGTTGGAACAATTTACGAGCCTTTGGAAGATTGGATTGTCTTCCCCAAAACTGTAGTCACAGAGGCAACAGTGACGTGGCATTTGGCACCTACATCTAAGAGCCTTTTGATAATCAATAAGGGCTTGTAATTTTAATTGTTCCAGTTATAAAAAATATGTAGTGAATTAACATCGCTTTTGAAAACATTTGTTAAATTTAAAGACAAAGTTTAACGTGTCACGTGAGAAATGCAATTTTGGATATTTTTGCTACCATTTAGGGCAAAGTAGTTAAAACTTTGGAAGAACGACACTGGCTGCATCTAACATGCTTTTTCTTGCCATGACTTGCAAGCTATGAAAACGATTAAAATCTTGATAAGCTGTTATAATGTTCTACAAAGCTGTAATTATGCAATGTGTGACCCAAGTTATTAACACTAAATTGTAGGCTGGTGGCAGGAAGAACGTCAACGTTAATCTGTGAAATAATTTAAGCGATGATAAAAAATTATTTCCCATCTTGTCACATTTAATAAGCTTGACTGGAACATACATGGTCTTATATAGCTAGGATTGAAGATTTTACGAGAGTTCCTATAAATGTCAGAGCGTGACCTGCCAATTACCCAAAATAGGCTAATGCTCGTTTCTAGTTATGCTCGCCAACAATAGACTAGGCCAACATATGTTCATATTTCATGCTGACTTGACCATGAGTTATTATATACACCTAACGTAAAACATCACGGATCTTTATTATTATTATTTATTATTAATCGAATATTTATACAGGATGAATCACTTCAGTTCAATGAAGAACTGTTATCAATGCGAGTCCTTTACCAATTTACACCACTTTACCAATTTCCACTGCACTCACTGGCGAAGCGAAATTTTTCTCGCGAAGCCTACTTTATCCTTACTACGCGTGCACTAATTCATTTCGCGCGAAATTTTTCGCATTTCGCCTTGAAAAATGCTCGTGGAATCAGGCCTTGAGGATCATCCCTAGCTTATTTGGTTCAGTGATATTGCACGAGGAAACCTATGCTAAATTCATTTTATTTGTATAACTGGATGATTCTGGATAATTTTAAACTGTTTTTCGTAGAGGTCTATGCAATAAGTGCCATCTCGTATTGGTCCAGTGTTAAGCAGTGGATTTCCACTTGCAATTTCTTTGAACCGTGAGCGGTCAAGTAGAACTGATTTAATCGGATGGTCACAATTCAAAAGAAATCAAGCGAAATATTTCGACGACGAAATATTTTTCTGTAAATGGAAACCCGCCCAAACCTATACACTAAAATAACATAGCTCTATCATTCTCAAACTGTTCCTCCTGCAGGTTCTGTATAAGAGCGTTTACTTATTAGTCCAGTGTTACTACAAGAAGAAGGCGTCGTATCCAGGGTCAACCTGCACAGTGTTTGGTTGAAATTAGTTTGATTCAAACACCGATATAATCTGGTTGGTGGCCTCCTGTAGTAACAGTAGAAAAATAAAAGATTACCCTTACTGGACATGCATGCAGAATGAGCAGTTTTGAACAATAAAGCAATCCTGCATATAATCAATTTAGTTTGGTTTAGGACGATTTAGAATATGTACCGCTTTATTTCTGTATGTTAAGATTGCCCTTACGGAAAATTCACACATCATTTTACATGTGAAATTTTGGTATCGAATTGGAACATTTCATATGTGAAGATGACCAGATTCTTTCATATATGAAATTTAGAATTTTCACATATTAATAATTATTTATTTCCAGCATTAAGCTCGACCTTTGAATTTACTATATGAGTAAATTGTTAAATACGTCCGAAATGATCAACACAATGAATCGCGCTGAATTATTGGGATAGATTAACCTAACCCTAATCTAACCCCAACTCTATAACCCCTTGTATCCCTAATATAATCTTAATCTAATCTAATCTTAATCTGACACTATTCTAAACTTAATTATATAATTCAATTCACTTTCAAACAGGATTTTTCAAGAGGTTTACTTTATTTTTTAAAAAATCCTGAAAAAAAAATCCTGTCTTGAAAAATCCTGTTTGAAAGTGAATTGAATTATATAATTAATGATGACCAGAGGTGAAAGTTTTAGAAGAAGAATTATTCTAAACTTGATTACCTTTTTTCTAATAATCACAATGTTTACATACTCTATCGCAGTAAGAAATATTGTTATATCGACCAGTTTCAACTGGTAATTAACCTATGTGCTGAAATTCTTAACTTTGTAACAGCTTGTCGATTAACGTTGTGGATTTCCAAAAGAGGAATTTTTCAATGAAAATTTGTGTATGAATTTTTTCTCACATGTCAAATTACATGTGAATTTTTTTATTCCGTATGAGCAATATTCGAGAAATTCAGATGCACTTCAGATGTAAACGATTGTATCACACACTTTGATCAAATTATTCTTTGATCATGGATACGTCAATATAGTGTAAACCATGTAGCTATTAAACAGTACATAATAATGGACGACTTGCGCTTTAGACTAAATTTTAATCTAAGTAAGAACAACGAAATATATCACCACAGCTAGAAAGAGCGTCTTGGAATTAGTAATATTACAAAGTTTGGTTGCGAAATGTTGTAAAATACGGAAAATATAGCCCTTCAAAGTTGGCAAATTTGTATACTTTAGTAAACTAAATTAGTTACCAATTTCCGCACGTAATAGAAATGTATACAAATTTGCCAACTTCGCAGGGCTATATTTTCCGTATTTTACAACATTTCGCAACCAAATTTTGCAGTTTTTCTAATTTTGATAACTTCTTTCCGAAAATATCCTTTGTTATTCCAAGATTAAAATTTTTTCTAAAGCGCAAGTCGTCCATTCGCCCTCCTTCATTTCACGCTCTTGAATGCCATCGCGTGCATGTAGTTTTGGTCAAGCTTTACTCGGCTAATAGGTTGAAATTAACTTTTCATCCTGGTTGAATTATACACAGTGGTGTGCCCTAAACAGGGCATTAAATTTAGCTAGGGGCCTATAGATATAATTTCAATTCAAAACGAAAAGGAAGTGCTTTGTGGGAGTATTGTTTGCTTGTGCTGTATGCTGGTTGGATATTGGGACAATAGACTCCAAGACTGTAGATTGTTTTCCTGCTTTTGAGGGTTGAACGGAGGCGTGGATCTTGTTAGGCGTGCATATGTAATACATACAACAGGGCCCAGCCTAGACCTAGGCCTTCTATTTTTATTCTTATTTTAATATTCAGCTCTTTTTCGCAAGAGAAGATTGGGACCTAGGCGATTTGGGGGCGAGGCGGAGGAAGGGCGAAAGCGAAGAATCAAGAAGGCCTAACTCCGCTATAACAGATTTCCCAATCCATGGATATGCCCAATTCTTGCGTTCTCGTTTTGGCAACTTAAGAGCGATTTTTAACCGATATCATTTCTAGTATAAACTTACTATTTATATTTGACGCCTTGAAAATCGGGGGTTTTTATCATAAAATTTGAAGCAACACTAAATCTGCCTGTGCGTATTTACAAGGTGTAGATAAAGCACAAAATGCCAAAATATATACCAGAATTAGAATCTTTCATGAAATTATGTCTTATACACAACTACATTAATATATTTTCTTTCAATTTTGGTAAGAAGCAGCCTTGTGTTTGTAAAATAAATTGCTTTTATTATATAGGCAGTTGTTGGTTTCAGATCGCGAAGTTGTGGGGCTAATTGTATATACCAATTATAGTTTAGTTTGAGCCAGTTTGTTATTCGTGAAATACGAAAAATCTCCTCTTTAATATTTGAGGCAGTTGTGAAAAATGCTACAACTATGTGGCCCCTATGACAGCAATCGAACCTCCCGCCCTGATTCCGGTGCAGCGCTCTAACCAACCGTCCAGTTGCCAATAGACAATTCCATACCTATCGACTAATTTTTTATCTAGACAAGAAAGACGAAATATATCATTATAGCTCAAAAGAGCATCCTAAAATTAGTAAAATTGCAAAGTTTGGTTGCATGCGAAATGTTGTAAAATACGGGAAAATATAGCCCTGTGAAATTAGCAAATTTTGAGAATTTTAGTATTACGCGCGGTAAACTAACCACTTTCGGCTCATAAAAGTGGTTATACTTTTACTGCGCGTAATACTAAAATACTCAAAATTTGCTAATTTCACAGGGCTATATTTTCCCGTATTTTACAATATTTCGCAACCATGCAAACTTTGCAATTTTACTCATTTTAGGATGCTCTTTTGAGCTACAATGATATATTTCGCCTTTCTTGTCAAGATAAAAAATTAGTCGATATAGCTGGAATTGTCTATTATAAAGCATTAACCGCTAGTTCATACTGTATACAAATAATGAATGTTTATAAGTGCAATGGTAAGAATATTTTCATTCGGTGAAAGATGGAATGTTCCATTTAACGAGGCGACAGCCGAGTTGAATGGATCATTCCATCTTTCACCGAATGAAAATATTCTTACCATTGCACGAATATAATACCAAAATAGACTAATATTAAAAGGTTTACTGTAAGCTCCCGCCATTTTGACGAGTCGTATTTGCATTAAATCCCATTTACTGAGTTTCGAATATCGGGTTAAAAAAACTGCGATCACCGTACGAGAAGCATTTTGACGGATGCGATTTATCTAAAACACAAAGAGTGGAATAAAACGTATAGTACAATTGCACTCGCAAAGAGTGCAATGGAACGTATTCCATTGCACTCTTGGGAAATGGAATTTTCTATTCAATATCACGTGACCGTATACAGCCAATTAAACAGAATTCAATAAGGTATTATATAATAAATTCTAACTGTATGGGTGAATATCAGGATTTTGGGCATCTTTGAATTGCACTTGAAATTTCCATCGAGTGAGATCCTCAAAATCCTAAATATAGTATTTATATAACCGTCATACCTTTTACTATAGGCATCACGCCATTATATATGCAAGAACTTATGGTTAATTGGCAACTGGGCTGTGTAGCTCAGTTGGTTCGAACCCTAACAGCAATGGAATTGCCCTATAGATGCATTTTTCGCAAGTGTTCCGCATTCCATCATTTCCATGCTAACCACATTAAAGCTGCAGCCATTGATTTCAAGCACTTCAACATGTTCTGAAGTGGAACTAATACCTTTGTGGTTTTATCTAAACTTTGATATTATTTATCCCTGCTGAGATATAATTATAGCAATTTAAGGGTCATTTTTATGATGAGTTCGTTTGTTCACGAGATCTATAGTATATATGGATTCCGATGACATATGTAGACATTTTCATACAGTTATAAACTCTCTTATATATTCTGCCCCATATGCCGCTTATAAAAGTATTGCGGGAAGTTTTTAATAATCTCAAGTTGATTTTGCAAATAGTTAGTAAATAATTATTTTAATACATATGTAGCTATAATGGTTGATATTGCCATGCATGCATGCAATGTCAATAGGGGTCAGGTATCGATTGAGACGAAAGTTCTGTTTCTTTTTTTTCTAAAACTATATGTTGGTCTTCGCAATCTTATTATAAGCATATTGCACTAGTGTTTTAGCTTATAGTATACTATATTTAATTTAATTTATTTCTTATTTGGAACTTTACCGCGTGCATAGAGCAAAATAGCCCTCTTTTCATGGTGGTCGAGAGTTTGTGTTAGAAGTGGTTAAAATAATAGGGAATTAGCCTTTCACACGCCGCCATTTTTGGGGTACTGTAATTTTTCGTAAACGATTATAACAATGTGAAAAGCAATATTTCAGAACAAACTATTTACAGAGTAAATTTACCATCATACACCCACAAAATAGTATAAAATGTCGAGGTTACGTGGTGTTATACGCTCGCAGGATTGGCAAAAAAAGTACCCCAAGAATGGCGGCGTGAGAAAGGCTAATACAAGAATTTCCTATACGGATGAAACAGACTGTTGTGGTTTTTTGAGGTAAAACGAAAAACTATATTTCGCTCTATCTATATGGTATTGAGCACTGTTTGTGTTTCGTAAACCAAAAACTTAAGCTACATAGTATGATACATATGTCGAACAGATGGTATATGACCAGCTTTCAAGCAAGGCTCCTTGTCAAGGAAAAAATTGTCAATTTTTGCCGTGCACACGAACAACTAAAAGTTCGGAAGGAAAACTTTGCCAAGGAAAATCGTCTGTACGGGGTTTAACATGCAGTGATGGGGAATCAGACTAAAATTTATTCGGATTAAAGCAATGATAAATATTCTATCTGATCTATGCAATGCAAATGCCTGCATATCTCAGTAAAATTTTGCTTCGTGCGTTGTGCCATGGATTTGTAGATAATAGCGAAAGCCGCCTTCCAATTAACGCCCCGATTAAAGACCTCATTGATAAGATAATGGTAAAATTACCCTATAATATTTAAATGGTGAATTTCATGCAAAGCTTTCAGTCACGAAACTTGTTGGGTTTGAATGATGCCTTAATATATAGACAAATTGCTATATGTATGAATTGGTCGGTTCATACTGGTTTATGTTGGTTACAGCTAAATATTCTACAAGAATGATACCCATTGTACCGTAGCTTTTTAAAAGGTTGTCAACGCGATTTTGTCGCTATAAACCTATAGTTACTTGATCAATATTATTTATTGATTGCATCACCCTTATGCTAGCTTAGGCACAATCGTAAGATGGCAGTTACGTTTAAATGTGGCTATAATAAGAAACATATATTGGTGTTAATAAAAAGAGTCCTTGTTTCAAGAATTGAGTCATTAAATAACATCGCTCAAAAGGTGACTGAGTGCCTTTAATTAAATGTCGGACATTCCGAACTCATATAGTTGCTATATGTAAGACACAAACATGATATTTTGCCATACCTAAAGTTTATAGAGCTTGCAAAATATTCTTTTAACATGGATATCAACATTTGTTGCTACAAATCGCTATATACCCGTGGTCAGTATTAAAATATTCACAGTTCTCATCCAGTAAATCTTTGTAGGTCGATAAATATTAATGAAAAATTTCAAAAACATTTTAGTTTTTCTTGGTTGGAAGAATTTTGAAAATTATATAAAACTGCTTTACCGATTATTTTATATCTTGCTTATAGTCCTTGAAATATTTTGACTGAAAACAATGAGCTGTTCGCCATTTTGGATTAATTTCTGATCTCATTAACGGTCTTATAGTATCGTCTTCAAAGCAGAGTTAGCCGTACTAAGCTACTCTAAAGTGACCACATACCATTTTGTAGATGTTTAAAACATTTCCAGTTTATTTGCTATTAGAAATAGTGACTGCGAAGCATTATTTTAGGCTCATAATGATCAATGGCTCTCTATAGATATAAATTTGCACGATCCTGGTTTTGACCTAAACAATCCACAATGTCTGATTTAGGCTATTGTGATTTTGATCCAGGTATTTCACGAACTGAGAAAGATTATAGCGAATCCTCTATAGCCGATTATTCAAAGACACCTAGAATATGCAAGTTCGCATTCGAGCTTATACAATTTTTTATGTATATTATTTGATGATGGTTGTCAGGTTAATGCGAGTTTTTTTATTTTGCTTGAAGCTATATATATGCTAAATTTCTTGTGAGATTTAACTACTCCGAAAACCATATCCATTTCCGATGGTGTTCACTCTAATATAACCGCCCTCAGCTCCTAATTAACTCCCCCGACAAAGTAGACCTCAATTATATGCTAATGGTTAAATTATCTAACATTATATTGTGTTTTTTTATGTCAAATTCGTTTAGTCACGAAAGGTGTTGGATTTTGAAAATTCAGGGGGGTCATGAAGAGGTGAAGGATATCATTAAATTGGATTGACACTTCGCGAAATATTCGGTTGGGGGCGGCAAATTTAGGTTGCAAAACCCGTCTTTTGTTGGTGTAAATCTTGGTTCTTTGAACTTTTTGCCTTAAATTTCATGCAACATACACACACTAAATTGTGGGTGTTGTTACAACACCAAAGTGGTGTAGTCACTGATCTAGTGTAAATATTAACACCATTTTTGTGTTAGGGAAACACCAAATATCATTCGTGATATTTACACTTAATAAGTGTTATTGGTGTTTCAAATACCTACACGTATTGGATGCAAATTTGGTGTTTCCCTGACAAAGAAATGGTGTTGTCATTTATACTACATCGGTGTCTATAGGCCACAGATCTGCAATGCATGCAAGCAATGCATGCGGTGTCTATACAGATCTGCATTACACCATTTTGGTGTTTTAGGAAACACTCAGAAATTTAGATTATCTCCTATATCAATGGTTTCATGGTCGAAATTTTTTGTTAACTGTATTATTCCGAATTAAGGCTTTCAGAAATTCTCGAGGGTATGTTAGTTCAGTTGCCTGAATTGGAATTGGTATTGTCCTGTATATAGAATAGTGCCGTCACTGTTCTTACTGCAAATCATAGATATCTTATAGACACTAGATAGCGCATCTCCTTTAGTGAAATTGAAGCCAAGAATATTCCAGCAGTTGCCCCCATTTGAATAGATGGCGGCCATGTTGGAGTTTCCCACTCGCTAATAAACGCTTAAAAACAACAATAACTTTCATCATTTGAATAGTTTGAAAATGTTTTTGGAATAGGTTTAACTTAATGTTTAAGTTCCCTGTTTAAGAAATAGAAAACATACGAGTCTTCTCATTTCATGGGAAATATTCCGGAGTCTGCAATCACGGCTTCAATTTTTGAATTGCAGAATAATTAGATGCACTATCTAGTGTATATAAAATATCTATATGCTGCAAATAGTATGGCAGTGTACCCAACCAACAGCGACTGCAGTGAAGCCAGTGATGATGTTTATATAAAAGTTTCTAAAATTCCTAAAATTTATCTTTAGAATAAATCAATGCCATCGGCAATATCTTGGTTGATTTTTAAAAGCATTCAAAAACGTTATACACTTCGTTACCATCTCAAGTACAGAGAATGACAAATCATTTTATAAGTACTGATTCAAAATGCATTACTTTGAAAAGGTAAGACTTGTCATCTCATCAACACCTCTTACAATACGTCATATGGCTACTTTCCAAAAATGATGCATGATCTTTTTATTCCTTTCAAAAATTTAGCTGAATCAACATATTGTAACTTAAGTATGTATGTTTTCGAAGCTTATATCAGCCAAAGTGCTTAAATATACTTATTCAATACTAAAGTTGTAATCTTGTGTTAAAAAATGTAGAATGCACGAGTAAATAGATTATTTCCGCTTGGCCTTATATGCTTGCAGTTTAAACGATCTGAAGATTTTTGTGCTTAATTTTTTTAGTTATTAATTTGGCCAACATTCGAAGTGTAAGCTTTCTAGATTATACGTTCGCCTAAATCACAGAATACTACACAGAAGTCCATCTCCATTGCTTTTTGCGTAAGCTCTATTCGTCATGATTCGTCACTCAGCAAGTGTAAACAGAAGCAGTCACCCCCCTGGACGTGCGCCATTTTTAGTATTTCAGGGGGTGACTGCTTCTGCTTATGGTACTTGCTGAGTGACGAATCATGACGAATAGAGCTTACGCAAAAAGCAATGGAGATGGACTTCTGAGTAGAATTCTGTGCCTAAATTTTAATCAGAATCATACAAAGGGGTGAGGTAGCGAGATGTTTCCGGATTTCTGGTTATAAAACTGTTTGCTGACTTGTACCAATTTATTTCTACAAGGGCTAAACTAACAACTGCATGGGCAGATATTAAAAGTATGTGTTTAAAGTGGTTTATATGATCAAAGAAACTTCTGGATGATCTATATAAGCTGTGGTTGAAACAAAGCAGTTTTCTAGCTGAAACGCCCACATCTGTGGATTGTATAACATCCGTTGATCCAATTAATCAATTCCAATTAGTTAGTTTCGGTACCGTTAACAAATTATTATTACTTGATATTTTAAAAATATTTTCCTATAGCTATATATAGAACATATAAAATTTACAAGTATTGTGAAGTTTATTGTCCTAGTTTTCAATCGGGGGAGTAAGAAGAATATTTTCCTTTATCCTACCTCCACATTCATGTTCCTATACCATAAGTGATTCCTATCTTAAAAATTCCTAGCTTAAAAATTCCATGTCAACCGGGGAGAAATATTCATTCCACCTTTTCGGTTTCAAATATTCATATTCCCACTATTATAATATTCCTACCATCAATATTTATCAATATTCATATTAAGTTCTTTGAATGTTTGCGTGCATGGCGATAAAATATAATTGTTTTTGTTTGTGGAAACACCACGTAAATTTATTATTGCAGTAATAAATTTACGTGGTGTTTCCACAAACAAAAACAATAATATTCATATTCATACTACTTTAAAACCCCCGACATATCTTGTAATTTTCACAAAGCAAGGAAAAACTTGGAACCGTGAATGAAAAATGAGAAGAATATACGTTTAATCTTGGTTGTGTTGCTGCAGGTTTGCACTTATTTTCCGGCGTTAAAAATTCTGTAGCACCATTATTTTTTTATATAATATCAATTCAAATCCTCATGTCGCATATCATTTCCTCCTCCTCTTCTTATGGGAAATTAACTATTAACGTACTTTATTATTAACGTGTTTTGATTTATGCTATCGTTAATATTTAAGCATATACTGGATCGTTAATTTAAAAGATCTTGATTAGTTTGAATAATCGATAATCATTTAAAAATCACGTTCCCTTCTCACTGACAGAGGATGTTTGCCATTTAATTTGATTTTAAAAGACCAACAAGCAATTCGCGTTAATCCTTTTAAAGACCAACAGGCAACACGCGTCAACGCGCTAATTTAATGTCGCGTTAATAAAGTACATCCTTAATTTCCTATATTAACGGTTAATCCAATTTGGCTTTATGGGATTGTTAAGTTCAACGCTTTTCAGCTTTCAAAATTTAGCTTGGCTATGACGTCATAAATTGCAGAGTTCATTTGCACATCAAAAAACTGACATATTTGAAAGAAAAACTGCCAACTCGTGATAATTTCATTGGTGTTAGTATATGCACTGTGTTGCCCTTGATCTTTTGAGAAACTTCCACTTAATTATAATTTTAATTAACACTTATCAACAAATGTACATGCACTCACTACATCTTATATGCTTAACCAATTTTGGCGTTGAAAAATATTCTCAACATCTATATACAACACCATTTTTTCTTTGAAACTTCAGCACTTTGATCGCAACTTCACGCTTTCTCGCGATATTTGCTTTGACAAGGATCGCCTCTTAAAAACTGTAACATGCTTTAACAAGATGAAAATATCACAAATATAATATTACAGTCAAGGAAGTGATATCCAAAATTAATACATTGTATATATTGAGATATTTCTAGTTTGGTTTCAGAACTTTTACTTGTAGCTTTCAAATTCTTTGTAGCTTTGTGAATTTGTATAGCATGACAAATAGTGTTTATTTATTTAAATGGCGGAGGTTTCATACATAAGCCCGGATCTTCGTCATTATACAAATAATTTGATTAAGCCTTCGTATTAAATATTGATTAATATCATGGTTATTCATCGATTAATGAATAACTTATTTTCATTGCACCTTCTTCTACAACAGCCAACACTTTTATAAATTTCTAAAACTTCAGTAAAATTTTTAGAATTTTTTATATTTAACGAAGGAAAAATATGGTTGATAAAATGCAAAAAAATCTCGACTTTTAATTAAACGCAAAAGCTACCACGGGTATTAATATAATATAAATCAAAACACAAAAAGCATCGTGTATATTTAATAGGAATTCGCACAGGATTTAGGCCAAATTCTAATATGAATAAATATCTTATATAGGAATTCCAATGTAGTAAGTTCCTTGTCCTAAGAGGAACCCATATTGGATTCTGTAAGTACTTTTTGGACACTACTGGATTTGAGAGCGTCAACGTTTAATTGTTCAAAATGTATAGCATATTTGCATTATCAAAATCTTCAGCTTACTGAAAGAAATCTCTTACATGGAAAATGATGTTGTCAGAAAGTCTAGACCATAAGGTGGAGTGTTTCCTTCATACTCCCACAAATCACAAAGTCTTCTTTCAAATATGTTATATAATTGTGTAAGACATGCATGCAGCATATATAGATAAAGAATTAAAGATTTAAAGTATATTACATAAAGAAGCAATTCAGAAACTCAAAATTAAAATGTTATCCATACATATAATGTAATTGTATAGAAGAATATTATTCATGCATGGTGCAGATAAAAAGTTTTTTTCCGGGTCATCCGTCTCATGATAAATAATATGGTTATATTAATATAAATAATCGGTTTGATTCCGATTCTTTCTAACTACAGGTATAAATATTTTCCTGGAAATGTTTTGGAGGATCGAAGTAGAAATATGTGGGAACCTGTATCCTAGAAGAATGAGGAACAATTTTTCACACATACATACATATCATACTTCTTTATCTGTCATTTGAGACATGTAACATAACAACATATACTTTTGTTGTTGCATGTATAATGAGTAATGTACCGTCAAATTTTCCATGGCTTTTACGCACGTTTGAGGAAAATTTGAAAAAGGCAAATTCAGGACCGGATGAACATCGAACACTTTCTACAGGTCTGCACTTCAAATTAATGCTCAATGGGCAAATTACTTGAGTTGTAGTCCATGATACATCATTCATTGTCTTCCTTTTTAGTATATACTTGCTCTTTTGAATTTATTTATATTGGATTTGTACCAATCAGAGTATTCCTATATGGTTATTTGATCCCGGTGGGACTCTCAAGCAAATAAATATACTTAAAAACTCTTTACCGAAGTGTGGGAATTAACCATATTTAGTTTCGGGAAGCAAGTGACTCCCATGAAAGACTCAAGTATTTGATCTTTGGATGTCCTCGGGAATCTAAAGGAGTGTTTTCGCTCTTGGGGCGAGCCCATCAATATTTTATTTCATAATTGACATTACTTTATTATAAATTTTACAAAATTTAACAGTGCAACATGTCACACAAAATGCAAAATTATTCTGATTGTTATATTGTATTGACTCCTTAAGTAAGTCACTAAAGTGTCACCATCAAAATCTCAAAATGCGATTTGGCTGGCAGAGGCGAAGGGCGTCCCAAAATTCCTGTCGACGGGAGTGGATGGGGGCGGTGGAGAATGAGTTATCTCCCGATCATTAAAGTTCCCAACCAAAAAGTTGGTTCCTTTTTAACAAAACCTTTAAAAATACATCATTCGTTGATTTTTTCTGCTGCGAGAATGGTTAAATCCTGTTATTTCAAATACAAGCCCAAACGAAATCCGCGCATTGATTTGCCCTACTGAAAGATGATGCTTACGAAGACTGGAGGAGTGTCACCCATCCGCACCCTCCGGTAGTTTTGCCCCTGTCGACTGGTAGCAGAAGCAATTTTAATGTCGTCAGCGTTAATGTTGTATTGTTTTCGCAAAGGGCGTGATCCACCAACACACAATATGCCGGAAAGAGCAAAGAACTTCGAATACAATCTGAATAAAATAGGTTTAAATTACATAAAGTGCATGGGGTTTGATAATCATCCTCGCTTGCAGCTGAGAGCTAAGCTAAATTACGAAGGACGCAGCTCAACCTGATCGAATCGAAGACTTACTAAAGGTGCATGCCTTTGGCTACACCGTGTAACTGACGTTTGTTGTCGGAGTACAGTTACGATGGAAGGATTAGATTTTTTGTATTTATTGCAACCTAGCCTGTCAAGATTCCCAATAAGGTATATTTTCTAGGTGATTTTCAGGTAAACTGTAATTGTCTTGACAGGTAAAGTGAATGCAAGCTGAGAATGCCAAATTTTGTTGCAGAAACTCAAGGCATCCTGATCGAGAGTCTAAATACTCCGAATTTACTCGGGGGGGGGGGGCATTCACCGGAAGCCTCCTAGTAGACCTATACCCATATCCCATTGTGTTAATATATTCGTTCGAAAAAAGCACCTGCTACTTGAGTGTAATCATGAAAAAAACACACTAAATTTCATGGAAAACAATATATCTCTCCGATAAAGCGTTGAACATTTTGAAAAGTGTTTATTTAATCGACGTTTCGACTAGATTTTATAGTCAGGAATGAATGAAATTACTGCATGTCGTCAGTATATTTTTTCAAGTGAAAAAAATATGGAAAGTACTATATATAAGGTTATATTAGTTAAATGTTATTAGTTCTTTAGAAGATAGGTCAAGGTTAGGTTTCAATCTGCATATCGCATCTGAGCGATTCTCTGAACAGCAATAAAGACCAGTGGTCGGCTCTCTCTATCGATTATTTTACAGTTATTAATAAAAAGAAAATCAGATAATATTCATGTTATATTAGAGTTATGGTGTGGTGTTATTTTCATTGCAGTTTTAATATATTAATTAAATTGTCCACACTTAATTTTCAAAAAAACTGCTTGCCTTTAATGTGTGTGTTTTTTTTTTCAAAAACTGCTTTAAATCTAAAAACTGCTTTAATTGTTCGCACCAAATTTCAAAAACTGCTTTTTAGGTAATGTAAGACGTAATTTCAAAAATCAGGTAAGTTGGACCCATGCATCGTCCATCGCCAAAGTATTCGCTACGTTCCTGACAAATAACTTTATCCGAGCGGAAATGAATATCGTTAAGAACGTTAAAATAATCATCATGGAGCTAGTACGTAGTTAATGAAGGTGATATATAGGATTATTTTATTAAATTATTGTTCGCTCCATCTGGATAAATGAATAAATCCATCCGGTACCAGCGTGTGAACTTCTGAACTTTCAACACATTGGAACTAAGTACCCCGAGAAGAACTTAACATTATCACATTAGATATTTATAATCTCCGGACACGCATTCAATTATCGATTTCCTATATCGAACCCTATTAATTCTTTTAGTCTCCTGGTATAGTGTATCCTCCTCCCCAATAATTATTTTCTCATACTGGATTGGTATTATGTATCAATAGGAGCAAAACTAATTCATGTTTCATGCACACGGAACGAACGTTATTTCAAATCTGGGGGATAAGGTTGTAAAAGTTTTAAAGTGCAGTGCAAAATCTTGAATTTGTAAATGTAAGAACTTAATAACTTCGACAAAAATTCCTTTCAGGGAACTCGGAAAATGCCGAAACAAAATGTTTCTGGGGGTGCGTGCAATCCTTGGTTGAGCCCCCAGACAATCCCTGGTTGAGCCCCGGCCCATTAACAACGATTTATTTGTGTTGGGAAAATAATACGGTTCGAAAAATGGTTTTCTCAAACTCATTAATAATTCATTAAAAAAACACAAATAAATATATAAGCTCGGTATGGTTGTTTTGATATCGCCGTAATTCGGAGATACCGTGGGAATCAGAAACACGATTTGACAACCGAGCGCACACGAACACCTTGCTGCAGAACACAAGGAATGACGCACGTTGTTTAATAATAGGTCATGTTAAGAGAAACGCTATCTTCGGTTTGGGGGGTGTTTTACAATGTGTGCATGGAAATGATAATTGATTTGATAGAGCAAATAGCTCTTCTTAATAATTTGATCAAGCAAACAGTTTTTTTTTAATCATTAGATTCAGCAAATGGATCTTCTTAATCATTTGATGAAGCAAATAACTCTTCTTAATAATTTGATCAAGCAAACAGTTTCTCCGTAATAATTTAATGGAGCAAATGGATCTTCTTAATCATTTGATAAAGCAAATAGCTCTTCTGAATAATTTGATCAAGCAAACAGTTTTTCCGTAATCATTTGATGGAGCAAATGGATCTTCTTAATCATTTGATGGAGCAAATAACTCTTCTTAATCATTTGATCAAGCAAATTGCTCTTCATTTGATGAAGCAAGCAGTTCTTCTTAATCATTTGATGAAGTAAATAGCTCTTTTTAATTATTTGATCAAGCAAATGGCACTTCTTGATGATAATTTATTCAGTCATTTTGAGACAAGATAATGATTTATGTAAATCATTTTAATTTTTAGGTTTTTTAAGATTTTAAAGGTGTTTAAAACAGGCTCTCGAATAGACAATGTAAACCTGTTTCAAAGACACAATTTGATGTGAAGTCTCTCATGCACGGTTAAAGGTTGAGGACACCACAGTCACCATAGCATGCTTGCAGCCCGAAATATTTTTAAACAAACACAGACCGTGAGTAGGTTACAACCACGAGTGTGGGTAACCGAAATTTTTTCATTGTGTAAAACAATTAGCCTAGCTTTCTCACGAAAGGCCAAATTCGCTATTTTGGGGGTACTTTTTTGAAAACGACGTGAAAAATCTAAGCGATGTGAAAACATTTTTTTAAAATATTTGACTGTAATGATTATACTCACAACTATAGTTATACAAATCCCTTATTCATTGCGTACAAATTAATCTCAGATTAGGAAAAGGCAGTACCCCAAAAATGGCGGCGTGAGAAAGGCTAATTGCCTTCTTTTAAGATGAACGTGGAGCAGCGATGTAAATTATAGAATGTATATTTAAACGGAGATCGCCGCTATTCTCTCATACATGAAAACTTCGTGTAAAATGCATTTCAATTAAATGAAGTGAAAAGTGATTTTACCTGACTTTCAATTATTTTGCATTGGGATGATTTATGGGGCTTCGGTGCAAATGCCTTTCACCTCTGAGATCCTAGGTGTGATTCTCGTTCCCGGACTCTATAGCCGACATGTGAATAGAGTCTACGATCTACCGAAAGGTTCTTCGGGTACCCTGTTTCCTCGCACAGGAAATGTTAACACGCAGGGTTGGTTAGCAGGTCCTTACATGGCTGTGCTCCGAGATCAGACGTGAGTCACAACTGACAAGGCCCTAAGAAAGCGTTCGACTCGATCAGGTTGAGCTGCGTCCTTCGCAATTCAGCTTACCTCTCAGCTTAGATCTATTGGATGATTAGCACACCCCCTTTCTTTAACTGCATGCATACAATATGGGGGTGCTGTTAAACGTGGCACAATGCATGCATGGTTAAAGTAAAGAGACGATTTTTTGTATGTTATACATACGTAGCACGCGCGCTCAAAACTATAGTAACTACTGTAGTATAATATACCACTTGGGTATGACTGCATGCATTCAAATTTCTATTTTTTATATATATATACGTTTCTCGATCGGGAAAAAAAAGTTAAAAGGTATGCCGAAATGAAGAGATTTTACATGGTACGCCAATTAAAGAGAAAATTATGTCTGAAGTTCAGTAAGTTTAGCGGCTTATATATATTGCTGTAAATAATTATGTAAGTATCATTGATAATGGCCTCTTAAAATGGAGTTCAAATTTACAATTATATTCAACAATTTACATTCAACAATTTACATTCCACAATTTACATTCAAGAGTAGGGCTAGGAACCTTCTAGAAACCATAATGTTTCAGAACCTTCAACAAAACATAAAGATGCCAGTTCTAGCAAATGTTAGAGAA